TCTTTCAAAATTTAAAATATCACATCAAAAAGGATATTTATAAAGTGGCATGTGGCCAAACCTTAACCAACTACTCTGTGCTGCTCTTCCTGAAGAGGTTACCATGTGAAGTGAGGATGGCATTCTCTTATTGTGTCAGCAGCATGTTAGAACCGCAGATCAAGCTTCTACCCAGGAAGAAGAAATTCTGCCTCACCTTTCTCAGTAAGAGGAAGCTATGCATTTTGGATCTCCATGATCCGGCATTGAGCTCTTTAACTAGCCCTCTTCATTCACTCACAGTGCAAACAAGACTAGAAGTGACCTTTGAACAACACAGCTTTGAATGGTGTCGGTCCACTTACCCATGGATCTTTTTCAATAAATACAGCAAATTCACTGGACAGGAGTTGGCACCCCTAACCTCAAGAGTCAACTGTATTCCCGTAGTGAAAGTGAGTCCATTGCTTTCTGCCATCCTCACTGCCCTTCTTCCCTACAGATCCTATCAGAAGCCTATCCATCCTTCACAATGCATCCCAAAGACACCCCACTCTTCCTGCAGCACTTTCTCACAATCCATCTTGCCTAGTTCTTAATTATTTCAGAGTTCTCTAAGGGCTGCATTTCCATATCTCCCAACTAGAGCTAACAGCACCACCCTCACCTAGCTTTCAATAATTATATAACAGAAAGGATCAACTCTGACAACTCCAAGTCCATCTAGAACCAAAAATTTCATTTGTGGAGTGCAACTGATCCTGGGCTAAAATGGTGTGCAATCAGGTCTATGATGTTTCCAGTTGTCTGAGATGCAGGTCTATACAAGGTACAGTGGTAAAGAACCCAGACATCTATTAAATGTGTCCCGAGGCTCTCCTGAACATGTTTAAACACAAATGTGGTTTTATAATATTGCACTCATCCTGCAGCTACTAGGCTAACTGAAAATACTAAAGCTCGACGTAAAGCAAGTCCCCACATGTGCTCAAAGCAAGGCTATGCTTTATTAAGTCTAAAATTTAATGTAATACATTCACATACTCAAAGAGCAGTGTGGGTTAACGAGGAGCAAGATTCAGTTACCAGGACAAAGCTGCTTTTATCAACTAGTCTCTATTCATGGTCTGGCATATTTATTTATAATACCAGTAGAGAATTTTAGTGATTTAATGAACTGGAAAGTATAATCAATTCTCAGCAATTCACATAAAAGGAGGAAAGTAGTCATATGAATAATCTTTAAAAAATGGATAATTAAAGAGACTTTTATATGTGGCTTTGAAATGTGTTTCGTCTGCACTTAACACTGAATGGATGAATTTCCACTACATTAGACACACCCAATCTTCAAACAAAGTAATAAAACAGGCTTGTGTGTACAGTGCTGAGTATATAAACAGTCTAGAAAACTCACGCCTACCCCAAAACAAACCACACTGAAGGGATGGGCAATGTCGCATTTCAGAATTACTGCAAAGAACGAGCACAAGTAGAAAAGCACACTTCCACGTGTGCGTCTCCGAGTCCCACTTTACTAAGAATCAGAGTGTCATCAAGTATGCTTTTTCCCTAAACAAGGAATTCTCAACTTCTATGTATTCTCTTCCAATATTACAGTGAGAATAAGTGGATATGGTAACATCAATAGTGGAAGAGCTGAATACCCCTAACCATGGCTAAAAAGTCTCTTGCTGGGCTTGGCGTGCTTATGAAAGGAAACTTGTACCAGGAGCAATGACTTAAAAAATTTTTAGTACGGTTGATAATGTAAGCAAACTGTCGTAAAGTAATGGCTTCAACTGCGTGGTGGCAGAAAATAAAAAGTAACTTGAACTTTCAAGTAATTTCAACTTTTTTTTTTTTTTAATAAAAGTGTATTTTTTGGAAGGCGGGATGAGGTAAATACATTGCTTTGTGTTTTTAAAGTGTGAATGATTTTTACGTATTAGACATTTTAAGCAGTTTTGAATAGCACTGGTTAAGTATTTGAAGCTGGTACAAGCAACTAAAGTCCTCTGAAACCTCCCAGTGACATCTGGTAGTGGTAAAGCATAACCGAAAAGCCTCATGGGAGGAGCCATCCACTCCAAACAGAAAAAGGTGGGTTTTCTTCAGGAGCCCCAAAAATCTAAGGACTGGTCCATAGCCTGGCTATATGTCTGTGTTTTCTTTTCACTATTGATACTACTGGTTCCTAAGCCACTTGACAGTCACTCCAGTGGACCCTGAGCAGCCAAATGGAATAGACAATGAAGGGCCGGTCAAGTTGCCTTTCCTTCCCCATACCTGAGGGGTTGGGGGTTTAGGAACAGTAGCGAAATAGCATGGGTAAATGCAGAATAGCTACTGTGCATTCCTCTGCCATAATCAATGTACTGTTTCTTGAAGAATCTCTGGGTCATGCAGCAGTAAAAATTGTGGATTTTATTAAACCTTGACCCTTGAGTACAAATCTTGTTAACATTCTGTGTGATGAAATGGTATGTATACTTAAAGCACATCTGGTGAAAGTGAAATAGAATGATTGCCTTGAGAAAATATATTTGTGCAATTGTTTGTGTTAGAGATGAACCAGTCATTTTTTTCATGGAATATCATTGTACTTGAGAAAAACATACAAAGTGTGCTTATTCACACTCAGGTATTTAGCAGGCATTTTCTTAAAAAATGAATGAAGTAAGCCTGTCAGTTCAAGGAAAACTATTGCCAATGATAACATTCAAACCTTCAAGTGAAAATCAGAATGCTGAAAATCTTGATTATGCCACAATGAGCTTGACGGCTCCCCAAAAGACTGTTTCTGGTGAGACTGGTGATGATGTGAAGTAAATGTAATTCTTTGATATTGTATAATGAAACATATCAACATATTTTTTGAAAGAGTTGCATAACTCAATGAACCAATGTTTTCTAATAACAATGCAATTACATTACAGAATCATGCATGGGTAAAAAGTCCATTCAAAGTTAAAGACAGACCAATGGATTTTAGTAAACATGAGCACCAAAAGTTCACTGATGGTTTTAGAATCCACATGGCAATTAACCTTTAAGAAACCACCTTTCAAGTTTTGATAAGGTATCAAATAATATCCACAATTAACTGAAAAAGCTACAAAATACTCCTTCCTTTTCCAGCTACATATCTGTCTGAGGCTGGATTTTCTTCATATGCTTCAACCAAAATATTTATTTATTTTTAAACAATATATAAATATTTAAAGTTTTTCTGTTTTCATTTCCAATCCAGTAAATATTAATAGATATAATCCATATAAACAAAAGCTCTCTAGGCTTCTCAAAATATTTAAGAGCCCTGAGACCAAAAAGTATGAGAACTACGGACTTAAGTTTGAACTTTATTGTGTGATTGGTGGTAAGCCATGAAAGGTTTTCAACAAAGAGCCTTTAAAAAAAGTATGTAATCAGGGTCAAGTTTCTACACATACCTGGCTTTTTGGTTTTATTCATCTAGAAAACACTAATTCTCAAAGCATAATTCTCATAATTTTCATTCACTTCAGAAAATACTTTTTGTACACTATGTAGACAGAATGGAGAACACAAGAAAAATATAATAATCTCTGCCTCAAAAATTTAATTTTATTTGTTCTATGACATTAATATCTTAGCTTTGCCCTAACCTCAGAAAATTCACAGAATGCAAGGCATAAGATATATCAATTGATGACACCTTCTTTAAAGACCTTAAAAGAAAAATTTAAATGGGCTTTTTGAGTAGACAATTGTTCCTAGAAACTTCAAAAAACCAGCAAAAAAAGAAGTAAATCTCTCTGATAATTTACTTTTTCTTGTATCACATTCCCATAGCAACTTCTGCTATTCCTCCAAACATGGCTGCCAACATCTAAGAGAATTTGTTATTCACTTTTTCCTTCATTTAAGAGATACATTAGGTAGAGCCTGCCTTCCTCTGCACCATTTTAATACCTCCTTATATACTATTTCTATACAGTACAGCATCTGATATTAAATCTTACTAGTAGAAAACAGTTTGGTGGAAATAAAGTTCAAATTAGGACTTTGCTGAAGTCCAGACAAAATAAATATTTAATTTACCAGCAGTAACTTTTTAAAAATAGCCTTTTACTAAAGAGCTGGTGTCCAAACACATTCTGTTTCATTTCAAAAAAGAATTTAGAGGCTGTGCATGTTAGTAGGATCATCATCCTCAACATTACTTTACACTCGATAATTGTAAATTATAGAAAGACTGTAAAATAAAAATATAGGTGGTTCTGATCTCGAGCATCTGATTTTCCTATAACCCAACCCAAACACCATTATATACTGACATCCCTAACCAACACCCACCTGGTAAGAGTATATCACTTCCTGATGATGATTCTGAATACATGCCAGGAGCTATGTGCTAGCCAAGAGTTCAGGATTAATTTTGGCACCTTGAGGAGTCTTTCATAGGCACTGACAAGAGAAAGTAAATAATAAAGTAACCCAGAATTTCAGGTAAGCATACACTAATCCCATAGGTCCCCCAAGAATACTCGTTAATAGTATTAAACTATTAACTACTTATAACTACTATTATACTATTAAATCTACTAATTCACATAAAGAAGTTCTACAATATTATTAAAATGTGCTTAAAGCATTTGGAGGAGGGGTGGGAAGTCTGCCATGAGAGACTGACTTTGCAGACATCAGAACTGACTGTACTTGAAACACTCTGTCTCCACTGCTGCTGCCCCTCTCCAACAGATGTGTGTCAGCTTACAGCACTTACTCTATCTCCTAAGCCCATAGGAGAGGGTGAGGGAGGGAGTACTATGGGATGTACCCCTGTTAGAATGGGTGTCTTACATAGAGGATGGATGGAAGACTGTGCAAGAGAAAGGGAGGTGTATGCAGCTATCAACAGCAGTTTGGAGCCTGAACTGCATCTTGAGCAGAAGGTACGTCTGAGTAGCTTCTCACCATTTTTAATGTTGATAATAAAAATATTATTTAGGAAGAGATGCCTGCTGTAATCTTAGTTAAGAATTTTATCATTTTCTAGACGTCTGAAGAATGTAGATCATTCCTGAATAAGCCTCCCAATAACATGTCTAAATGTCATTTGACTATTACACTTGACTGCTCACTACATTTCCCATAAACGAAAGTATGAAAATATGTGGCAATCTATATGTAACCCTGGTCTATCCAGAGACCTAAGGTATAATATGAAGGCCAAAATTAGTCCTTCATTATAGAGTATGTTCACTGGTGATGGATTGGCAAGATCACCATTACCAAAAACCAAGATGAACATGAGAAAAGGTGGCAATTAAAAAAAAATAATCTACACAGAAAACAAATACACAATTTGCCAAATTAAGTGCTGTAGAAAGGTTAGGTCAGTGCTTTCCATTCAGCCTTGGCCAATAGTACTGTTTAGCATTCAAAATAAAATAGATTGTAACAGTGATATTTGCAAAAGAATTTGTCTCAACAATAACAAAACCCAGATATAATGCTCATCAGTTTCAAAGGCAAGGCAAACTCACGGTGTAAATGCATTCAGAACAGTGGTGCTTGTGAAAATTTTATTTCTAACACGTATGGTAATCATGACTAAATGAATGTGGAGACTGCTTTTGCTCATACACTATTACACAAAAATTAAGTAGATTTAAAAAATAAGAAACTAGATATGACTTGAGGAAAAAAAGTAGAAATTGAGGAAATTTTCACATTGTTGTGCTTAGGTAACAGCTGTTGGGTTTATGCATTTCTAGAGATAGATACATCAAGCTTTTGGTTTATTGTCTATTCTTTGCTTACACGATTTCTAATAATCATCTTTTCCTTGCACGTGCCACCACTTATTTGCACAGCAACTGCAACAAAACAAACCATACAAATATAATAGAGAAGAAAAGAAAGTCTGATGTTTTTAAGATATTCTCAGATTTGAAGGACACAAAAGGAGACTCTAGAAACATTGTAAGCAAAACTGTAAAATGACTGCTATTAACGATTGCTATAGGGATCATGCAATGTACTCCTGTCTGTGAAACTGAAGGTAAAGGAATGGGAGCTTTTAATTTTGTGGATTTAGTATCATGTTCAATTATATGCTTCTGTGTGGCTCTGAAGGGTTTCAAAATCACTTTTAAAAAAAACTTATTTCAGCTAGAACCTCAGGGAAAAATGGTTTATAGGGGACATTAGAAATGGAGAGATGTCCTGAACATCAAGAAAGCACAAGAGAAAACAAATTATATTCAACTTTAACAGATTGGTTAAATAAATACAGTAACAGTACATCACTGATATTTACCAGGAAGCTCAGGCATGAATCAGAAAATTTCCCAAGGTGAGGCCACTGACCACCCTTGGTTAAAAAACTGGAATCCAAAGAGAGCAAGTTCTAGAACACAATTCACAGCATTTAGATGTGAATGAAGGCAACTGGTTAGGCTTTTTTGATAGTTAAGTACACATTGGCACTGTTTAGCACTTTATAGACAGTATCTTATTTAATCCTTATAACCACTCTATGTATTGTATTCATTATAAATTTTAAATTTTACATGTTCTGGAACTTTTCCCTTGCTGGTGGGATGATAAATAATCAATGGTGGATCCACAGATACCAAAGGCCTATGCACTGGAGGTGGGGGAAGAAGGCAGACTACATTTATTTATTCAAAAAGTACTTATTGAGAACCTTCTATGTACCAGACACTTGGGACACTTTAATGAGCAGACATAAAATACTTGACAACGTGGAATTTACAATCTAGGAGAAGTGTGAGAAAGAGATACTTTACCAAAAGCAAACAAACAACTCATACAGTCGTTAAGAAGGTAATAGATGCTATGGGAAAAGTACAGTATTGTAAGAGGGATACAGGGTAAAGCTTGCAATTTTAAACAGGATATACCTCAATGACAATGTGACATTTTAGTGAATGCTCAAAGCAGGTGAGGAAGTTGGCCATGAATGTATCTGAGGAGAAAATATTACAGGCAGAGGAAAAACACAGCACAAAGACCTAAAAGTGGGAAAGAGGTCAGTTAATGGTAACCAGATTGTGTAGGGCTTTGTGAACCTTTAGAAGGAATCTGACTTTTAGTCTGAGTGAGAGGGAAAGCCAGTAGAGGAATGTAAGTGATCTGACTTATGTTAAAAAAAAAAAAAAAAGAAAGAAAAGAAAAGAAAAAAAGACCACTCTGGTTGTTATGTTGATAAGAAATTAAAGGAAAGCCGGGGAAGAAGAAAGGAGAAGCCACTGCAGTAATCCAGATAAGAGGTCCTGGAGACCTGGACAAAGGTGGTAGCAGAAGAGGTGGGAAAAGGGGTGGAACTCTTGGATTTATTTGGAAGACAGGATTCTAGATAAAGAAACAGGATTTGCTGACAGCCTGGATGTAGAGTAGAAGAGAAAGCAAAGAATCAGGATAATCCTAAGGTTTTGGGCTGAATAAACTGAAAAAAATGGAGCCAGAACAGAGCAGGTTGCAGGGAGAGCAGATTTGCATAGGAAGATAAGAAATTCAGTTTTAGTCCTGTTAAAATTGAGGTATCTTTTACATACTCAAGCGCAGAAGTCGAAAATAAAAGTAGCTGGGTATGTGTGCAGTTTTTAAGAGAGCTACCCCAGCTGGACATATACATTTGGGAGTCTTAAGCAGCTACGTGCATTTTATGAAAGTATTACAATAGTGACAAGAACCCTACAAAAATTGAACCCCTGAAGCATTCCCAATTAATAGGCTGGTGAGAAAAAAAAACAGTACAAATTTTAAAAAACGACTAAAAAGAAGAAACCAGTAGGCCAGTGGTATAGGAGGAAAAGCAGGAGTATGGTGTCCTCAAAATTAAATCAAGAAAGCCTGTCAAAAAAAGAGGGAATGATGAATTATACCCAATGCCGCTAACAGGTACCGATAAAGAACTGACTGTTGGATTTAGCAACTTGGAATGTTTTCTTTTGAAGCCTGTTTCCTATCCAAAAGGAAGGATTTACTCCAGTTTAATATCTGGGATACAAATCAGCAGTTTGTTAAGAAATACCAGTGATAAACTTCAGATGCCAACAGTAATTTGCTAATATTCGATTCCTATCCCTTAAAAAAGGAAAAAGACTTCTAGGTAAATTGGAAACAAAAGGGTAGATTTCTTTTGTCCTCATGAGGAATTATGGTAAACCAAATGCCAATATCATACCACTGTTTCTCCTATAAAAATAAAGAACACAATTTTGCACATTATTGCCATTATTATTTGATAAGGTTCCAAAATGCTAACACTAGTACAGCCTGCCATAAAACCAAAACAAAAGGTATAATTAAGAGAAGTAGACACGAAGAGTCATTATCTGCAATTGATGATATAACTAGGAAACCCAAGAGAATAAACTGAAAAGCTCTTAGAATGAGAACCAGCAATATAATAAATCTACAACAATCAACAACCATCTTACACCAGCAAGAGCCAATTTGAAGAACCCATAACACCAACAACAAAAACATAAATACCTAAGAACCTTAATGAGAAATATTAGGACTTACATGAAGATTAAAAACAAACAAAAAAGACAAACCTCTGCTAGGAGAGAGAGGTCTGAAAAAACTTTTCATTTCCCTTAAACATCGACTACATGTAGATGACAATCCTTGCCAAAGAATAAAATGCAACATAATTGGATATTTCTTACTTCCAAGGATCCATCTGCAGAGTATTCCAGATGAAGATGACAAGTTTGACAAAAAATTCAAGTACATCCCCTCTCTAAACTCCACTAAAATGGCAGTAAAGAGATCTTTCTAGAAGACACAGACACAAGGACTTAAAGAACTAGAGTGGGAACTACAACAAAATCATGTAATTAGAAAGAAGACAAGCAGAAACTTAGCAGAGCTAAAAGAGTGAGATGCTACACTGTCAGTGAGGAAAGCAGAGAGAAGCACTCCCGTTTAATAAAAACTTGGAGGTGAAAGGGTAGCGCCCTAATATAGTCAGTAAAAGCTGTTTGAGAAGCCCTACATCCCTGAATGTCCTTCCCACCTCCTCACGTAGAGCTCTGGCTGACAATCCCCAGAGCCCAGCAAGATTGGAGACTGATTCTTGGGAGATAAAGTCTTTGAACTGTAAGGGCAAAGGGACCTTCACCAAGGTGACCATACAAAAGAAGATACTAAGACTCCAGCCAGATGCCTCCTCCAACACTGGCAGCTATACCTTGTGCTCTCTGGAGGGCTCTGGAAGGCCACTCTCTGACCAGCCCAAGAGGAAAGATCCTACAAATGGCCCCAGTGAAAAACTCAGAACAAACAGTAACAATCATAAGGCTGCCACTGGGGAGGGAGACTAAGAGGACTGGGGGGGGTGGAGGACGGGGAGAGTAGGGGACCACATATTTTACAATAAGCTTTTCAGTACTATTAAATTATGTGCATGTATTAAAGATAATCTT